GTGAATTCAGAGGTCCAGGAATGTAAATGGAATTTTACTCTTCATTTTTTTTTTTGGTTTTTCAAGACAGGGTTTCTCTGTGTAGCCCTGGCTGCCCTGGAACTCACTCTGTAGACCAGGATGGCCTTGAACTCACAGATATCCACTTGCCTCTGCATCCAGAGTGCTGGAATTAAAGGTGTGTGCCACCGCTACCCAGCTGAATTTTATTATTTAAATTTTTTAAATTATATTTATTCATTTTATGTATGTTTTTCCTGCATGCATGTATGTGTATTACATGCATGCTTGGTGCTCTCAGAGGTCAGAAGAGGAGGATATCAGATGCCCTGAAACTGGAGTTAAGGATAGTTGAACCACCATGTGGAAGCTAGGAATTGAACACCTGTCCACTGTAAGACCATCTATTATCTTTCCAGCCCCTATTATTATTATTATTATTTTATTTTATATTTATTTTAAACAGTGTATCCCAGGCTGCCCTCAATCTTACTGTGCAGCTGATTCTTCTGCCTCTGACTCCACATGCTGGATTACAGGTGTGTACCACCAGCCTAGATGGAATTTTTTTTTTTTTAAGATTTATCATCTTAATTTTAATCATGTGTTTATGTATGTGTCTGTGTGTAGGTGTATCCCCATGAGTGCAGGTGCCTTCAGAGACCAGAAGAGGATGTCAGTGTCTCGAGCTGGAGTTATAGGGAGTTGTGAGCCACTTGACATGGTGCTCAGGAAGAGTCAAAAACCCTCCAAAACAAACAAACAGAGCCCCCTGTTGTGATGAAATGCAAAATGAAACCCTGCAGATGTGAGGGAATGAAGGCGGGGTGTGGAACTCACCCGGCTAGAGCTAGTTTGAAGACACCCCTGCCCCCACCCGCAAAACCCCTCCTTCATTGGAGTTTAATCTCAATGGGATTAAAGGATGGTGGGATGTTAGAGTTATGTCAGGAAGGCTCTGCTACCCTCAGGATGGGTTAACCCATTCATTAATGGGTCATGGTTTATCATGGTGTTGTGAGTGACTATTCTTCAAGCCAAGCAACTACCATCTTGGGGAGATCACTTGTACCCCATCTCAAAAGGATTATAGACTGTGGGTCCCAGCTGGGCTTGTAGACTGTGACCTATTGGGATGATATTTTTTTATACTGTAGAGATGTGTCTCTGTCCTTCCTCACCTGCCTAAGGCACCTTCTGATTGAACAGCCAATAGCTAGGCAAGAGAGGATAGGTGAGCCTTCCAGGCAGAGATAGGAACTCTGGGAAAGCATCTGGGGTGGGAAGGGGGAGACTTGGGGGGGGGGGGTCACCAACCAGATACTACAGAAGTTGGACGTATGATACTGAGGAGAAGTAACAGGCCACATAGCAGAACATAAATTAATACAAACAGGTTAATTTAAGTTCAAGAGTTAGTTGGGAACAAACCTAAGCTAAGGCCAAGCTTTCATTATTAATAACAAGTCTCCATGTCATTTTTCGGGAGCTGGCGGTCCAAAGAAGGATCCTGGGTAGTGGTGTACACCTTTAATCCCAGCACTCTGGAGGCAGAGGCAGGTGGGTCTCTGTGAGTTTGAGGCCAGCCTGGGCTACACAGGGAAACCCTGTCTCAAATAAAATTAAAAAACAAAACAAAATAAACAAACAAAAAACAAAGACCTGTTACAGTGACCCACCGTGGACGGGTGAAGAGGCCATGAGAAGACCAACTAGCAGCTCTTGACCGCCTGTTTCGTACAACTCGGCCATAAAGTGCTTGTGGTCTTGGGAGAGCATCTGATTATATAGCCAACCAGGGGAAACAAGGAGGGCCTCCTCTATGCAGCTACAGCCCTCATCCCTGCTGGGAAAAGGCTTTCCAGACACCACCTGTGGGAGAGGAAGCACCCGCGTCCCTGTAAGGAAGCCCTCTGTGACGCCCTGTGCTCTGTAAGGAAGCCCAGCACACTCATTTGCTCCCCAGAGGGAGCGTCAGTGGGACTGTGCCTCAGTTTGTTGTTGAGGCCTTAGGAGAAGAGTGGACATTGCTTTCATCTCTCCCTGGGAAGTAATTTTAGCGACACGTGGGATGACATTGCCACAGAGGTGAGCTCTCTCTTGTCTTCCATGTGGGGCCCTCCACCATGCCATGCTGAGTCTAGAACTACTAGTCTTTATAAACTACCCAGTCCTGGATATTTAGCTATAGCAACAGAAAAGAAATATCGAGACAGTTGAGAAATTGGAGTCTTCCTGGTACTGGGTGCTCCCAGGGTCGGGCTAACAATCAGGACGGGGCTCTGGGATCCCAGAGCAGGTAGGTAGTTCGGACATGGAGGAGAAGGCACAGGAGACACCAGCTGTCAGAGGAGGGAGTGAGAGCTATGTTGTGGAACATTTACTTCTTGTTGACCATGGATTTAGAGACAGGAGGTCAGTAAGAAACCCAGCACAAACAAGGCTGTGGTGATATTCTGTTTGTGCTCTAACAAAGCTTGCCTGGAGATCAGAGTGCAGGGCTAGCCACTAGTTAACCACAGAGGCCAGTTAGTGGTGGCACACACCTTTGATCCCAGCACTTGGGAGGAGGAAGCAGTAAGATCAGGAGTTCAAGACCACCCTGGGCTACATGAGATTGATCCAGTCTAAAAGAGAAATAGAGCCAGGAGGTGGGATCCCAGCACTTGGGATCTCGTGCCTTTGGTCCCAGTACTTGGGAGGTGTAGAGAGGAATAGAAGGCGGGAGGAGACAGGAGCTCACTCACCCCTTTTAGGCTGAGGGGTTGGCGCAGTAGGCAGTGGCTGTGGCTGCTCCTTTGTCTCTGATTTTTCAGCATTTACCCCAATATCTGACTCCGGGATTTTATTATTAAGACCAATTAGAATTCTCAATACACAAGACAGAAGAATAACGTAAGTCAAGCTATCTACACTTAGAAAGCCCATCGTCCCCAGCCCGGCCTGGACCGCATGCTGTGCTCCCACCTGCGAGCTGGGATGACAGGCATGCACTGCCATACCTCCTCCCCGCTCCTCCTCTGTATAGCACCTTTCACAGTTAAATACATTTATATGTTTATGTTTTATATTTTTGTTTGTTTGTTTTTTGAGACAGGGTTTCTCTGTGTAGCAGCCCTGCTGTTCTGCAATTCACTCTGTAGACCAGGCTGGCCTCGAACTCACAGAGATCCACCTGCCTCTGCTTCCTGAGTACTGGGATTAAAGGTGTACGCTGCCACCACTGGCTTAAATATCTATTTTCATTGGATGGTTAATTTGATAATAACAATAGTCTGATGACATATAGCCAAGTACATAGTATTTTCTGAGTAAACAAATACATCTAGGCATGGTGGCACCTGCCTTTAATCACAGTACTTGGGAGGTGGAGGCAGGAGATCAGGAGTTCAAGGCCAGCCTGGGCTACTTAGGAGTTTGAGGCTAGCTGCAGCTACTAGAGACTCTGTCTTTTTTGTTTGTTTGTTTTGTTTTGTTTTTGTTTTTCGAGACAGAGTTTCTCTGTGTAGCTTTGCGCCTTTCCTGGAACTCACTTGGTAGCCCAGACTGGCCTTGAACTCACAGAGATCTGCCTGGCTCTGCCTCCCGAGTGCTAGGATTAAAGGCGTGCGCCACCACCGCCCGGCTAGACTCTGTCTTTAAAATAAGCACTTTGAGTCCATTCTCTTGTTTATATAGGATAATGAATTCACCCAGTAAGATAGTGGGTCACCACATCATCATAACGTAGATGGAGATGGGTGAGTACCCATATGGGAGCTGTGGCTGGGTTCGCCCTCTGAAATAGGAGTTAGCAGAGGGCCTAGCATGTGGTGCACACCTTGAATCCCAGCACTTAGGCAGGAGAAGCAGGCAGATCTATGTGAGTTCAAGGCCAGTCTGGTCTACATAGAGAGTTCCAGTCAGGGGCCCTGTCCCAAACAAACAAACAAACAAACAAACAAAAAAACAAAACAAAAAAAGAAAATGGTAGTTGGCAATCTTGGGAAGAACTTAGAATGGGATGGGAAGGATGGCAACAATCAGTGGGTGCAGTGGGTGAAGACATCTGCAAGGTGGGCCAGAGACATGCCTCAGAAGACTACTGAAATACCCATGTCCATCGAGTCGATCCACCGCCATCCTGTGCCTGAGCACTCCCAGCCTCATGTCATCATCTTTATTAGATATGTTCCTTTTCTGTCACTGGTTGCTTGGTGGACGCTGTACTTTGAATGTGATTCTCTTGGTTTATGCAAGAGTTCACTCTCTGAAGCCATAACAAAACGGGAACTTAATCTAACTGCGAAGTACCCCATTTAGGAAGTGATTGGACTTGGCTTTGGTCTTTAAGGTGGAGGCCCTCACTGAATCCTGGTGGCTTTATGAGAAGCGGAGGGGCTGGAGAGACTACTCAGCATTGAGAGTTGCTTGCTGCTCTTGCAGAAGACCTGAGTTCGGCTCCCAGCACCCATATGGGTGACTCACAATGCCCGTAACTCCAGCTCCAGGGGACTGGATATCTCAGCCACAGGTTCCCATCTTTACTTGCATACACACACAACCCACATGCATAATTTAAAATTATAAATCTTAAACAGCAAAGAATGAGGGCGGGCATGCAACTCATCGGTAAGGTGCTTGGTAGCATTCACAAGGCCGGGTCTGGTCCCAGCACCCTCGCTTAGGAAGAAAATGCAAGAGCTGTTACAAGTTGGTTGCTAGAACTTGGTTGAGGAAGTTGCATCTGTTGGGGTCTCCCACACTGGTGACACTGGTGACTATGTGGCCTACTGTGTCCTTGCCTGAGCTCTGGACGGTAGGAATTGGAATATGCTGGAAGGAGCACACAGAGGCTCCACTTCTAAACTGTCTGCCTGGTGTTAGTTAGTGCATCAGCTGGGGGTTGCAGATAATGTAAAACAGAATACCTGCTTCACTCCTCCCAGAGTAAAGCCTTTAAAAGACTCCTTCTCTGGCCCCTCCGTGGTAACTGTTGGGTAGGAACACAGAGGTCTTAATGAAGTCAAGCAGTTGCTCTTTATTTTGCTGTTTGGGGTAACGACTGATGTAATTTCATCAAAAGGGAGGTGATTAGTGTAACAGAGCCCCAGACCTTAGCACAACTGACTCCATGATGGAAGTACCAATCAGGCCGTAAAACTCAGCACTTAGCACCACCTGCAAAAAAAAATGACAACAAAGACTTAATCCATCACAGTCCATAGTTCTGGGAAAGTCTCTGAGTGCACTGGCCTTGCTTTTTGGCTTCTGTAGTTCTGCTTCTGGCTAATTGTTCTTGTTAACTGAAGTATGTCAACCCAGAACATGGTTTTTGTTTTTGTTTTGTTTTGTTTTTTGTGCCTAAGAGCTCATCCTGAGAAAAGTTCAGGGATACACTGGGATCCTGAACACCCAGTGTAGCTGGCTAACAATGACTTTCTGTTGGCTTAAACCCAACACACCCAGCCACACATAATTCCTTGAAGAGAGCCTCACCCAGCAGGTCAGGCTCTCCCTGTACCTCATACATAGACGATGCTGCCCCTAATTGTGGTGGTCCTTTACCTCTGTTTCCCAAGGGTCGGGATTAATGGTGTGACCTACCCCGCCTGGCTGACACAGAGTCAGCCTCACCTGAGTGCCTGGAGTCAGCTCCTGCTGTCAGCTGTGTGGAAGGCAGCGTGGAGGAGGCCGGTTGGTGACAACTCTAGAAGTACTGAGAGGTGACCGTGCACTTGGCAGCAGAGATGGCCTGGTGGACACACCCAGGTCAGGCCGAACCCGCTGGGTCTGCTCTCTGAAGGAGTGAGAAAGTTAAGAGGCTGCAGGCCTTTGTGGCACAGGAGGGACGCCTCCAGGCAGGCTGCCGAGGCCCAAGTGGTCACTCTCCAGTATCAGCTTCCTCAACTGTTCAGATCCCACAGCTGAGCCAGTGTTTATCCTGTAACTGCTTCTAAATAACATCAGCCAGGGGTGCCTGCCTGCCTGCCTGCCTGCCTGCCTCCCTCCCTCCCTCCCTTCCTCTCTCCCTCCCTCTCCTCTTTCCCGCTCCTCTCTATCCTGTTCTGTTCCAATTTTGAGGAAGTGTGTCTCACTGTTAGCCCAGGCTGCCCTTGAACTCATGATCTTCCAGTCTCGGCTTCCCCAGCGCTGGGATTTTTGGGATATACCACCATACCTGGCCTCCAGAATTGGTTCCTGTTGTTGGCAAGTAACAGCCTTCACAGGCAGCTCCATGCTGGGAGTGTCTTTTGTTTTATTGTGTCTGCTAAAGTCAACTTTTGTTTTTGTTTTTGTTTTTTTGAGACAGGTTTTCTCTGTGTAACAGCCCTGGCTGTCCTGGAACTCTCTCTGTAGACCAGGCTGGCCTCAAATTCACCGAGATGCACCTGTCTCTGCCTCCTGAGTGCTGGGATTAAAGGCGTGCGCCACCACGCCTGGCTCTGCTGGTCGACTTAACAGGCAGCATTTTTACTCCACAAGCGACATGGTTCCCTCTGGACAAAACACCCGCGAGCGAGCGGGAGCTGCTCAACTTTCAAGGGGCGGCGTCTACAAGCAGTGGACCGCCGGGTGAATTCCAGAGCAGGACAGAGCGGAGCGGAAGAGGGGAGTGTGGAAGGCGCCGGCAAATGGGTGGCGACCGAGAGGGAGTGAGTGAGGCCGTAAATTCCGTTCAGGGCGATTGCGTCCTGCAAGAAGGGCAAAGGTTGAGAAAAAGCACCAGAGGGCCTGCGTTCCTAAAGCCAGGTGTGGCGGCTCACGCCAGTAATCCCAGCACTTGAGAGCCCGAGGCAGGAGAATTGGTGTGAGTTCAAAGCATGTGCTACATGGTGAGTTTCCTGCCAGCCTGAGCTACAGTGAGACTCTGCTTCAGGAAACAAAACAAAATAAAAACCAAAGCAGCAGCTGGAAGAAAAGCCGTGGAATACATGAAGCAGACAGAAGAGACATTGCCAGAGAAGGGGGAGGGGCTGGGGCGGGCGGCCTCTAGGGACGGACGTGACGTCAGACCGAGTAGGAGAGGGGCAGGGCCAACTGGGTCAAATGTGGGTCTGCTCACAGCCCACCTGATGAGCAGGACAGAAGTACTGGGGAACCGCCTCGTGTTGAGAGTGAGGGATTTTAACAAGGATACAAGTGGGGACCCAGTGGCCCACGGCTTTTCACGCACATTGGCTTGTCGCGGGTGGGGGGGCTGGGGCTGGGGAGCTGGCTCTCTGGGAATGCCTCCGTGGAGGTGGTTGGGGACAGTGTAGAGTGGCCTCAGTGGCTGCACTTGTTTCTGTTCATAGTGGGACTGCAGCCTATGGAAGAGGGTGACCCAGCCCTGGCCGCTCCTGGCGAGGCTGGCTGTGGAGAACTTGGCCCCTTCCGTCTGTTCCTCCCGCCGGAGTAACTCCCCAGTCGGACCCACCTGGTGCTAAGCCCTCCGAGGAGCCCACTTTCTTTCTTTCTTTCTTTCTTTCTTTCTTTCTTTCTTTCTTTCTTTCTTTCTTTCTTTCTTTCTTTCTTTCTTTCTTTCTTTCTTTCTTTC